AATAACAAGATGAAAGGAAAAAACAAATGAGTAAGCAAAACAGAAAAAAGACAAAAAATATTTAAGTCAACGTATATTTTAAATGAATTTGTTCTGGAGTACGAGCAGCATGTTGTCTGCAGGGAAATGTGAATTACTTAGCAACAAAGCAGCTCCGGTGAGAGGCAGTGCCATGAGCTGTTGTTTACACTTTCTCTCGCCAGCCTTGGCCCGGCTGGCGGCGCTGGGCAGGGCCGCGCATGGGCAGCGCCCGAGCCCGGCTGTGCCCGAGCCCGGCTGTGCCCGAGCCCGTGTGAATTACTTAGCAACAAAGCAGCTCCGGTGAGAGGCAGTGCCATGAGATGTTGTTTACACTTTCTCTCGCCAGCCATGGCCCGGCTGGCGGCGCTGGGCAGGGCCGCGCATGGGCAGCGCCCGAGCCCGGCTGTGCCCGTGCCCGAGCCCGGCCGAGCCTGTGGCTGTGCCCGAGCCCGGCCGAGCCTGTGGCTGTGCCCGTGCCCGGCTGAGCCTGTGCCCGTGCCCGAGCCCGGCTGTGCCCGTGCCCGTGCCCGACCGTGCCTCCTCTCACGGACCGTGCGGCCGCACCGCCGCAGAGGGGGCTCGCAAAATGGGGTGCCGTGGGTGGGCAGGGAAGAACCATTAGGAGAAATTGAGAGATGCAGTGAGGTTATGTTTTTTTGTTTTGCTTTGTTCGTGTTTGGTTTTTTCCTTTTTTTTTTTTTTTTTCGTATTTGGTTTTTTCCTTTTTTTTTTTTTTTTTTTAAGGCGACCCTAAGACAACAGATACAGTAGAAACAAGCTACTCTATTGAAGGAAGGAATAGAATGGTTTTCTTGAGTAGAGAGCGTGTTGCGTTTTGATATTTCTCAGACTAACATCACTGCTATTTCTGTGGCAGCAAATCCTCACCCTCTGCATGCTCCTAGAGCTAGCCAGCCAATAGGGAGAAGGCTTGAGGAAACTGGGGTAAATAGACAAAAACTAGTCATCCTATTCTTGAAGTCTGTTGCCAGCCACACACAGATGATTTCTCCAGGTTGTTTTTTTGTGTTGTTTTTTTTTGTTGTTGGGGTTTTTGGGATTAATAAAATACAGGGCTTTGTGCAGATAATTCTTGTTGATGAATGTCTATGAAATTTTTAAAGGCAAGATCTAAACGTTTGCTCAAATCAGCCTGGCAAAAAAATTAAGTGACTTGATGAGCCAGAAATTTAAATTTTATTCAAAATCTTCTATAAACTGGCATTTTAAATGAGTAAAAAATTTATAAAGAGTAGTTTAAAAATAGCCTTTCATTGCAATAATATATATTCACGTAACTCATTTTGAAAGCAAAATTATATCTACATATCTGAATAACTATCTGACAAGGAATTTGACCTGAATAGTATGCAGCATGCTAAAACTTTTCTGCTTAATTTCAATAGACTTGAAAAATAATCACTTAACCTGAAATTTAGTTACTAAGAAGCACAGTTTTCAGCCAAACAAGCAGATAAGAAAGCTGCTTTTTTTTTATTCATGGTTTATTCATCTGTAAAATAGATACCATATTTATAATACTTATTTCAGAGAAAATTCTATGAGGCTTAATTTATAAATTGCTCCACCTCATATTCCTCTGACAGTCCCTGTAAGTTGACCTGAGAACAGTCAGTCTGATCCTGCTAGGGCAGGTGGAGGATGTAGAGGACACTGGTTGTATCCTCACTGTGTTGTATGAGTTCTGGGGTTTTATGTGATGTGTTACCCAGTGAGCTGCTGGCAGCCTTTGGTTCTGGGTTGTCCTGGGGAAGCTGTAACTCTGCTTCTTGGCTGAGTACTCCTTGCTACAGGGAATCATTGATCTAACAAGCCAGCATCCTGAATTCCAAGAGAGAAGATCAGAATTCTGGTACATCAGTACTGTTGTATTAGATACCACAGACTCACCAGGTGATTTGGTTGCAGGTGAGGTAGACTGGGCACACCGTGGATGGGACTGAATTTATGCTTGAGCTCAGTATATGTTCTCACCTTAGCTATATTGTTTATTGTAGACATATAAAATGTTATTCTCCTGATTCTGACAGGGGGGTAGTATTTTAACTGCAGAGTGTTTACATTATTGTAGATCAGTGAATGTTTACTTTTTCTTTTTTTTTTTAATTGCAGAGATCCACTCTGTCCCGAAGTTTCATCTCTTACACACTCGCTTGCAAAGGTACTAAAACTATCCTGGTTAAATTCTCTTCTAGCATAATTACAAAAATATAATGGCTCATGGTTTTGAGGCTACACTGGGGACTTAGATGGGTGCCAAGCCAAAGGGCAGTGATGCCCAGAGCTGTGCTACAGGGACAGTGTTACCAGAGCTCCTCAGTGCCACTGGTGGTCAGGTGGACTTACAAAATGTTTAATTTCTGTGTTCTGTTTTCTCCTCTGCATTGAGAGAAATGTTCAGTGTTTTGAACATCAAATTAAGAATTCCAAGTGAAAACTATTAGAACATAATTAGTTTCTTGCTCTCTTCCCTCCCTCACCTGTATAACACTAAAGACAGTGCTAGTGTCTCCTAATCATAACTGTCTAGATAATAAACAGAGTAACTGAATTTAGAAGATATAATGGGAAAATGATATTAAGAACAATCTCAATAGTCTCTAACTACAACTACATTGAAACTTTTATGAGGTGATCTGAAGCTTCTAAAATACCATCTGCAGTTATTTATCAGAGTACAGTAGAAAACCCTTTAATTTTTTTAGAATATTTGTGTGAAAGTAACAGAAATACTGTTAAATCTTCCTTCAGTGGGGACTTTATAAGATTAAAATAATGCATAAAAAAGGTATGATGACATTCCAGTGATGAATACTGATAAAAGCTCAGAGCCTTGCTTGTGCATAGATTTATTATAAGTATGTGTGGAAAAACTCCCACGAGCTATTGGGTGTATTACAGTTAAGGTGTAGAGACATAAAAGTTGCAAGCTAAAGATGAGTGCAAATAAAATTGAGAAGTCATTTGGAAAGATTGAAAAGCATACTTTGAAAACTTCCTTTAGTTTAGATATATGAAGAAGGAAAAAAAAAACATGAAAAAACTAGAAATAAAGTAGTTCAATCATAATAATAATACCCCACTAATTTTTGAAAAAAACTTTTAGGTAGAAAACAAGAAGAAATTTCCTTCTGTGCCCACAGCTCAGAACAGACCATACTCTGCAAGTAAGGGAAAAAGAACAACTTCAAGGTATATCAAACATCTCATTTCATTTGTCATGAAATCTTTCAGTTGCTATTTTTCTCTATCAAGTTATTTCATGGATGTATGCTTTTATATTTATACAAATAAATGTATCAAACTTCCTCAGTCATTTCCAGCAGGTGGCTATCTCTGTTTACTTGCACCAGAAATTATCAGTGAACATATGTGATTAATATTGCAGCAATGAAACAGTTGCTTTCTGCTTTAGCACTTCTCAAGGCTGACAGTTGAATTCTGTAAACTCCTTCAGTGAAAGGAGGCCCAGTGAGCAAGAATGGAGCACCTGAGGCAACCTGGGCCAGCACCCCTGGGTGCTGCAGCCTGATTTGTGATCAGACTGGTGCTGGGGAGCAGGAGGCCTTCAAGGGCCTCCTCTGTTGTGAATTTGGGCTCACAGGACAAGAGGCTCAGTAATACAACAGATTCCAGGGGCTCCCAGCTGAGAAGCTTCGGCTCTGGAGGCAGCAAATTCAAGGTTGTAAAACCAAGAAATGGAGATCTGGACAAAGAGAGAAAAGTCAAAAAATCGATAAGAGCCTGGGAGCAAATTGAAAGAGCCATGAATTATGGCATAATACCAAAATAGGATGAAAATTGTCTGCAAGGTGGCAGGATATGGAACTGACAGGCTGAGGCTGTCTTACAGCCCTGGGGAGACCCTTCAGACCTCCCTTCAGGGCAGTTCAGGGGTGGTCATTATGCTGGCACCCCATCATGAGGTTTGGAAGTGGAGTTGTGCTGATACAGAGCCTGTGGGGCAGCCCAAAAGTTGTGGGAGAAAGTTAGGAGCTAGGAGGAGTTTGGAGGCTGGAATGAAGATATGTTGGAAAAAGAACTTAAGAGTTTCAGATCCTGTGAGAACTGAGATCACCTTTCTACAGGAGAAAGCTGAGGAGATGTCCTGTGTAGGTGATGTGTTATCTTGCATTTTGGTTTCATGACAATGTTGATATGCAGCTTCTAGGATCAGTGAAGTTTCCTAGGCTGAATAATGATGCAGAAATTGTCATAAGGCAGGAGTACTGCCAGGGGCAACAGAAAATGTGGCAGGGAGTGGAAAGAGCAGAAACTACAACAAAGAATAGAGGATCACCCCAGGACAGTAGCCAAAGCCAATAGAGCATTCCTCTCTTTCTTTGCTTTACTCTGATTTAGTTATTCGTTAGATGAGAAGACTATGCCAGAATCTTCTGAGCTGAAAATGGTAGTGGTTTCTCTGCCTTCTACATTATGGTGTGTAAAATCTTGTAATTATTTATGTGGAATATGGTAAAGGTATCTTGAAGAAAGTAAATGAGAAATTGCCATTGATGCATCTTTCCTATGAATGCAGGTAATTAAATTGCATTAAATGCAGGTAAATAACTGTACACTCTTAGCAAATACTAAAAATATTTTACAAAAATATGATGTATTATAAATTTAAAATCTAGGGTTTTCTTTTTTTTTAGTTCAAAAATAAGAAATGTGGAAGTACAAAGTGCTGATGGTGTTGCAGTACTGGAAGACTGCATAGGTTTTTCTTTAACAAAAACAATTAGCAAAGTTGAAGAAAGACTAAAGAAAGGAGCCTTACCAGACTGTCAAGATGATGATATTTTTCCAAGGGCTGGAAATGAAATGGGAGCAGGTAAGTTTCCTTCCATGGTTAGTACGTTTATTCTTGCTTCGTGACTGTTAGAAATGGGTTTTCCTGGGGAGAGAAAAAAAGGAGTTTCCGTAAAAATTACAGAGAAAATTCTATAGCCCTTAACCTGAAGGAAAAGGGAAAGAAGGTTTTTCCTCTCTACATAGGCCTAGAGGAAGATCAGGTCACATGTGACTGATTATGTGGAAAAGTGAATTTTTATCTTCCTTTCCACCTCTGTAGGGAAGTACTTGAATGGTTACATGTGTTGAATAAGTGCATAACATTTGATTCATTTCACTGGGGAAACAGAAGTACAGGATGCTAAGCTTGTATTTCCAAAAAGATGAGCTTCAGTCTTTGCACAGGCTCTGCCTTTGGAGGCAAAAGCCTTTCCTCAGACCAGAGCTGTGGATCTCATCAAGTGGCTGAAACAAGGTAGTGTTTCAGCTACAGTGCTTGAATTAGAATCCTCCAGATATTTTCCCATTGCAAATGGTGTGTTTATGTCTGTCCTAGAAACAGAGCAGGGAAGGGATTGCAGCATTTGCCAGCAAGGCTCAAGGCATGACACACATCTGTCTTTTTGGCTCTGGTGTGATAAAAGTGAGTTTGTGTAGTTCTTTACAATGCTGAAGTGAGCATGAAGTCAGAGATTCACCCCGGTAGCTGGAAGTGCCGGAGCCCTCTCCTTTTAATCTAACAGCTTGATGTCAACGAGCATGCCAACACAGAAATAGCTTGGTTTCTAACCTCATGTAATTCTATGCACATCTTCTGTTACCAAGTCTCCCATAACAGATCCTCAGATAACTTTTTTATAGTTTTCTTCCTGAACCAAAACTTCTACCAAATCAATGCAAGGCAACTCAAGAGGAGTTATTACTGGTGCCTTGTAATCAGGGACCAAAGGCATGTATGGGAGTATTGAGGATTGTTTCTGTAACTTTAATGATGAAATAAAAATCCTCTGGATATTTTTTGCATTTTGAATTTTGATATTGACTGTTTCAAACACTCTGAGTGCCTCCTTAATGTGGTAAATAAGCTATTGCAGAGCATTCCAGCAGTGTCAGACTCTCAGGACAGTTAGGGGGTTCACAGGGAAGCAGGCACAGGTATTAAGCAGGCCCTGTTACAGAGAAGGTTCAGTGGGAGTCTTCCTAATGGATTCCTTAGGCCTGTGTGCCTGTGCCCAGCTATTTAGGCCAACATGGTGATAAGGTTCCATAGTATTGTCCTTTCCTTGAGCTTCTTGCAGCACTCTTCCTGGAATTGGGTTCCCTGTCTTTATTTCACAATCACAGGTTACCACAGTGCTGCCAAGACAGTAGCTTAGACATTATTTTAGTCTGGGACTGTTTTGGAGGGGGTTATAATTAACTCTGCAGTAACCAGCAGATAGAAGCACACAGACATAAAGAAGGCTGAACATGAAGCTCTATTTTTATCTAATATACCCTTACACATAGGAATAAAATACTTGAATATATTGTTGCACTTCATGTTAATCTTCATCTTATCTCAAGAATTCAAGAAATCTGTTCTTTCTTGTAGGGTATCAGAGTCTCTGTGATGTAATTTTCTTGTTTATAAGGCCCTAAATCATTGGTTATTTTATAACCTAAGCCCATCCTATGAAATTATACTCCCCCTTATCAGCCTCATCAGGTGATTAAAATTGACCAGTTAGGAAGCTAATTGTTTAATTATCTTTACCCCTTGTCAGAATTCAGATTATTTGGATCATGGGCACCTCCCAAGAGTGATTCAGTTCTAGTTGTGTACTTGAATTTTCACAGGTTTTACTGCTAAGTGCTCTTAATGACACACAGCTGAATAAGACAGAAGCTGTCTATGGACTAATAGCTGAGTAAAAGAGGGAACAAGATGGTAAAAAGAACCAGTTTTTACAGGCAGTAGTATAGTCCTAGAGGAATCTGTCACAGAGCTTACATTGATAGCTGGTAAAGAAATTTGTCTATGTAACAATGATTTTAGGGTAGTTAAAACTGATGAAATATTGCAAAAGAATCTCATAGTACTGAGTGAGGTGGTGGAGCACAAGTTTTTATTCTGTGTTAAAGATGCAGAGTAACACTGACAGAAAACACAGCTTTCCAATCCCACCTACTACACAACTCCAGCCACACTTACTACTGAGCTGGCCTTACCTTAATTAGTGATTACTAAATATTCTCCAAAAGCATAAACTTACTGCCTGATCACAGTGGAAAAGGCAATGAATTTTTAGAAATCCTTCAGAAGATAGCAGAAAACAGAATATTGTACTGTTACCATAACACTGTTATATAATTGATGCTACCCCATCTTGAGAATGGCACAGTTCTGTCCACCCCATCTCAAATCTAGGATGTAGAACTAGCAAAAACACATGTTCAGAGTGTACAGTGCAATGAGGAGTGCAGAAGAGCTTGAATTTGAATCTTCCGTTTGAAAACAAAACAAGTAAAGACAATTTGAAAGTTCTTTAATAAAAACAGTAATGGTAAAGGGAAAGCTGTCTTTCTTTAATGCAAACACTAGTAAATGCCACATTAAATTGAATTTAAAGTAAGCTACACAAAGTGTTTCTCTTTCACATAAAGCATAATTAAATTAGCCAGCTCATTGCTACAGGGCATGGTAAATGCCAAACTACAATATGTTTCATGAAGAAAATCAAATAACTTAATGGTATAGAAGTACCTGAAAGGGGATTAAATCTGAAGGTTTCATTATGGTCTCCATGTTGCCAGAAGCTAACAAGGGTATAAAAGGAGGAGTAAAAGTCAGCCTGTATCTTATTTTTTCATGATGTTTTCCTAAACTGTACTTATTATTGGCCTCTGCCGAGTTAGAGCTTAAGCTGCAATTGATGAGGGAAGATGGGTGAAATTAAATTCCTGTTACAGCAAATGAACACATGTACCCATTCATTTCTCCACCCTTAGCTCTAGGTCCTTATCCTTCACAATATTATTTTCCTCTTGTAACTACTGGGAATAATGGTTATTCCTGTGTTAGTCAACTTGATCCTCAGACTGTTTCCATGCTTGATGCTTCTGGAAGTCCAGAGGAAGTTCCTTGTGCATGACCTGGGGAATAGGAAGTATGAGAACAGACTGTTCCCACACAGCTTGTTTTGTCATGCCAGTCCATTTCTTAGCTGTCCAAGAGCAAGACAGTATTTCATTTGGAAAAAACCCCCATCTGATTACATGGATTTGATTTTAAACTGTTAGTTGAAGAATGTTAGCAGTGTACTTTTAAAGAGCATAGAGTACTGTGTGGGAGGGATGTTTACCTGTTAGGAGGGGTTTGCAGCCTACTTCAAATTCCTTGTTATGCACAGTTTAAAATGACTTTGGCTGTAACTACAGAAGTTGTAGCTCCAGCTGGATTGCAATGTAGACATACAATATAGTTTTGTTGCCTTCAAACTCAAGAAGTGCTGCCATGTACAGCATGGTATGATGCAAGTTTTCAGTAAGTTTCGGTGTTGAGAATTATGAGTCTTTTACAATTTAAAGATGTCAAGTTCAGTCATTGAAAGGATAAAAATCTATACAAAGCTTTGCCTAAGAATGAGAAACCTGCAAACACTTTTTTAGAAATCTGAGTTTTTATTTGCCTATAAATTTGCCTCTTTGTCTCTTCAATAATTATAAACAATGTCATATGGTTTTAAATAGAAGAAGATGAAAGTGAGTTCTTGCATCAGTTTTGGTTCTTGTCTGCATAGAATAATGAGTACTTGTGTATATTAAATGTAACTTTTTATGCTCACAGAATCTCAAATCAGATTTCTTAAGGCAAAATTACGTGTGATACAGGAAGACCTGGCAAATATAGTGTTTGAATGCAGGAAAAAGGTAAGGGATTAATTTTTTAATCTAGAAATTGAATAGGTTCCTCTTTAACAAATAATCTCAAACCAGAATTCTCTCAACTTTTCTGTTTCAAGTATTAAGAGTTAATGTTCTATTTTTTAAAAATACCATACAAATTTAGAGTCGGGGTGGTAATTTCTGTATTGGGAGCCTGAGAAAAAGGAGGAGGAGGACACAGCAGTGGTGAAATGCAGATGGTGGAGTACAGAGAGAAGGGGAGTGGTGCCTAGAGTGGGCTGCTGGGCTGAGATGGATGTTTAGAGTAGAATGAGAAATAGACCAGCTTGAGAAATAGAAAATCTTGAGAAATACAGTCAGGTGCTTTCAGTGTCATCAGTGGATCAAAGTGTGGAAAGAGCTTCCATTTTAAGTGGAATATTATAATCAAAACAGAAATCAGGCTTTCTCTGTACAACTGTTGCAGAGGACAGTACTTGGAATTACATACCTGGGCAGATCAGCCTGAACTTAAGGCATTGTGAAGCTACACTGATATTTCACTGGTAGATTGTACAAGTGAGTTTTATGATCTGCACTGTCTGGCAGTATATTTTAAAGTGATGCTGAAACAGCTCTTGAACTGTAAAAACTTAAGTAGTTCATATCTGTCTGCCAGAGAGATTCACTTCTTATTCATGTATTTGTAATCAAGCAAGGTTTTTGAACTAACTTTCCATTTTACATAACTGCACTGTTTTTATTTGTGGTCTCTTAACTTCAGAATGCTTTCCTCCACCTATTCCCCAGGCCCAGAAGTGATGATGACATTAAGAACATATGGCAAAACACCTATATATTTTCTTACAAGCCTTTAATTTAGTGTTAAGGAGCAGGATGATAGTAAACAGGCTTTTTGAGATAACTACATGAAGAAAATCTTTAGAAGTAATTAGATTTTGATATTTTATATCTGTATTTTTATCAACACAGGTTCTTCTGCATTTCAATACTTCTATGCTGTGGTCAGAAGAAAGTTGGTACATTAGATTTTAAAGTAATTTTCAAATCAAATATATTTTTGTCAGTAGCTATTGAACTTCATCATTCCATGCCAAAATCACGACAGAATTCAGTTACTGTAGCAGATGACAGAAGACAACCTTGTACTTTTTCTAGTCCAGCTCCCTTAGCACTTTGTATGTAAATTTATCATTTTGGGTTCTAGTTTCTCTGGTGTGAAAATAACTATTACATTCAGAAGGTCGCAAAAATTTCATTTTTGGCAAAGCCTTGAGATAGATTCTGGGTTTGGTTCCAATTCACAGTCCAATTGTTATAAGGAAGCAGTAAATCTGTTTAAATTTAAAGAGGTGGGAGTTTCTGAGGTACATGAAGTCATGAGAAGCTTAGGATAAAGCATGCAGATTTCCCAGGTGGGAAGCTTGTATTCCAAGGGGCTGAGAGAACAGCAGAGAGAGACTTTTTTCACAGAAATTCCATTTCTGTATATGCCTTGGTTCCTTTTGCTTAAATAAAAGCAGGGCATAATGTGTCTCTGAAACAATCTACATTAGTATTCACTTACAATGTTTGAAAGGCTGTAAAAGAAAAATGCCTTGAATTATAATGCTTAATGTGGGATGTAATTGCCAGTAGGTCATGAATCTAAGACAGGACTCACTTCATGTTAAGAGAATCTTAAATTTGAATACTTGATGTATCCTGGATCATTAGCCTGCTTTTAAGTCACAAGCAGATAATCTCCTGAAACATAATGGAGTGGTTTATCAGTAATTATATTCTCTTCTTTTCCCCATAATTTTTCCTAATATGTGCATTTAGCTATTCTCACAAAAAAATATATGTATCTATGTCACAAAATATCTATGTACCACTGTTATTCATATAATTCCATAACATTTTGATTATTTTCAAAACCTTTGAGCTGTGAGAAGTGTTTTACATACTGCTACAAGACAGTTTCAAGTAAAAGACAGCCGACTATTAAATGAGAAGTGTTACTGCTTTTTAAAGTATTATCTTGGTAAAATGGTGTTTTGTTTTCTTAGTCTTGTTGCAGTTTCTAAATCTACACACATATATTCTTACTGCCTTTTATTTACAAGACATTATTACAGTATTATCCTCCTGCTATCCTTCCTGCAATAATTTAGTTGGGTTTTTTTGCTAATTACTGCCATACAGGATGATGAAAATCGGAATTTGGGAACTCGGCTTAAAGATACTGAGGAAGAAAACTCAAGACTGCAACGAACAATCAGCCTGCAGCAGTCTCAGATTGAGAAGTACAAAATGTTGTCACAAGAAGCAAACAAAAAAGCTGAAGGGTTACAACAAGAGGTCACTGCACTAGAAAAGGTATTGCAGATATTAGTCTTATTTATCTCAAAAAGGCTCTATCACTGATGGAGTGATAGAGCCATGTCCAAAGATCTCATTAGTGCTTCAATGTCTGCTAATTTATAAATAGTATTTTTAAATGGCCTAATTTTTTTAAAGGAAGAAATAATATATTTTGCTAACTTCTTCTTCTGCTTTTACAGTCATATATTTCTGTGCTTTGAAATTAAATTCCTATGTAAAAGACACACAAGAGCCAAAACCACCTTTTCAGCAACTGCTGTCAAATTTAAAAACTTATCCTGAAAAGTACAAGGAAATTCCATTTTTTGGATTTTAATTATAATTTTTTTAAAATTGCTTCTTTAAATTCTACTGTAAGCTGTTAACCGAGTGAACATTTTTTTTAAAGCACCTGCAGCTTATCATGGTATCTTGTGCAGGTAAAGGAAGGGATGTGCTTGTTGTTGCCCATGGAAAAACAGGCCCTGCAGTGTGGCTGAGCCCAAGTGAGCGTGGCTGCTGTCCCACAGCAGATGGCTGCAGACACAGCTTGCTTTGTTTGGAACTTAATCTTAAGGGCAGCATGTGTTTTTCTTTAATTACTCAGAGCTAGAGAGGTTGACTTCAAAACCATGTAATGCATAGAGTGTTGGGTAGTACTTGTAATGCAACCAGGAGAATGTTTCAGTTAAAAAATTGGGGAAAACAGAACACAGCTCAGCCCATCAAAGGCTCATACTTCATTAAATCATAGTATGGATTTATGGGGGCATGCTTGTATCTTAATGTTTCATAGTTCTGGCATTTTAAAACTAACATGGTCCATGTGGTTTTTTGTGCAGATACTTGGAGGTTTTAAATCCCCTTAAACTGATTGTGATTCTGTGAGGAAAAATATTCACTAGTGTTTATGCTACTCATCAGCTCACAGTCAGTAGGGCCTAGAGATTTACAGTAATTTAGTTCCTTCTCTTAAAGCAAGACAGGACAAATTATATTCAAACCATCCGGGTTTGAATAAATTTGTTTAGCCTGTACTTACAGCCTTCTGGAGTGGCAATTTCCACCACTTCCTTGCACACAGTCACAGTTAGAAAGTAGTTAGGCAATGGGATGAAAGGTTTATTCACTTCCCCTGTACAGGTACCATAGCCAGAATATGGTCTCTTCCCTCCCTGGTCTTTGTTTTGGATTTACCATCCTCAGTTGCTTCCTTATAGATGGTGTTTTCTAAAATTCCTCAAGGTTGCCAATCAGTCATGGTCATGAAAAACAGTGGTAATCCTTTAAAATACTAAGACAGCAAAAAAAGGCAAGTATATGTAATGAAAGATTTTCTGCTAATTCAGAAGTTATTTTACATATTTTCTCTGCTATAATAAATTATCTAACTGCAAAAACCATGCATATAAAAATAATTTTGCAGTAACTGCTTAAATCTCCAGTGGATTTAGAAGCCTAAAAACTGCTCTATTTTTTTGATATGAAGTATTATTCAACCCTATTTAATTAATGTAGTGTAGATCAATTCTAGACGTGTTTAAAAGCAATTTCCTGTGAGCACAGGCTTGAAATGGTGCTACTGTGCTGCTGAACTCTCATGACTCAGTCTAGAGAAGGTTTTCTGTATAGCTGAGAGCACAAATGAAACCTCTGATTTTGGGGCTTGTTTTTGCTTTTTCTGTTGTTGTAGTGTAGATGATGGTAGACCTAAGATGTGATACATGCTTCCCCAAACTCCTTAGATTATCAAGTGTTTTAAATTCATTAATCCCCCAGGTACTTTTTGTATGTGCCTAGGCAATGATTCTCACCTGTTTTTCACAATTTACATGAAACATGGCAACTATTTCATTATTTTTAAATTTTCTTCTTCTGGTGTTCAGTCTCTGTAAACATTACTGCTGCAGCACCCACCTAAGGAAGTAACTGAATTCTGATGCTCCCAGAAATTTCCATCTTTTTCTTTCCAGCATTTCAATTTTTCTCTCTAGTTGATCTCATAAATGCTATCACCTTTCTCATCTGTTTTTCACCACTGGTCTACAAGAATATTCTTTTCTTTGTGTTCTCTCTCACTTACTCAGCGAAGCTTTAATGTTAGATAGTGGTCTGGGAAACACCAAAGTTGTACTCTTATTATTTTTAAGCTGTTGTGCAGGAGGTTACCACTTGCCTTGAAGAAAGGCTTGATGTTAAGTACACCTTCTCTCAGAACTGTTTTTTGGGGAGGTGTTGCAGAGCTTCCTAAAGATAGCAGTGCTGCCTGCACTGCTGCTGGTGAGGGTTACTCGTGGGCCATCACAGCCCCTGCTGCTACTCAAGTGCCTCAGCCACGGCAGAACAGTGGGGAGAATCCAGAAACTGAAATGGGATGCAATTTTAAAACACAGTTCTTTATCCTCCCCACTCTTAGAGAAATATTATATGATAAAACTAATCCAGCTTTGACTTAAAGTATTGAAGAAATGGCAGAAATCTTGCCTAGTTACAAAATAAAACATCTATTTCAGGCATTTTTAAGATTAAAAACTTGGAGTCTAATATATTTAACAATGTACCCTCACTAGATTACTTGCAAAAGTCCTTGATAAGGTATTATGTGTGACAGCAGATGTCAAAAATCCCTAAAAGGATTCTTAGAATTCTTTCATTAAATGATCTGATTAGCGATAAATCATTTGCATTGCATGTAGACTATTTTTTTTGGTCATTAAATGCTTGAAAGACTATTCCAAAGCTTTTCATATTAATGCAGAATAAAATATATAGCACAAAAGATGTAATAGACTTCATTCACTACTCCATCATCTTGATACAAGACAAAGAGGTCAATTAGTATGTATTTCTTGGATAAATGATGTGGAAGTCTTGAGTAACCACTACAGAACAGGTGTAGAATTGAGAAAATAGAACAGTTGCTCAGAAATGAGGCAGCCTGAAGGCCGCCTCATTATCAGCAAGCCCCCTCTCTACCCTGATGAAACTTCCTGTGCCCATTACTAAAAATTTGATACTTCAAAGAAAAAGTCTATTTCTTTTTCATAAAACACACGATGTGCTCTTTCTGCCAGAGCTGTTTATTCCTTTTACTTTGTATCTGTATTCCCTGATCTTTAGTCTCATTATTCTGTTCCTCAAGTTGGTTTCTTTCTCTCATTTCCCCACTTACAGCACTATGAAATAGTGTCAGCAGAGTCAAGAGACAACTGCTTTGATTGGTGCCATAACACTCGAATTATTTTCTGCCAGATGAAATAGTTACTACCCTGAGCCATCTGCAGTAGGCTGCTTTAACTTCTTGGTGGTAATTGCATGTACTAATCTCTGGGGCAAAGAGGTGAAAGGAGCAGGTGGGAAGAAGCAGCTGGGAACAAGACCCACCATTCCAGAATCTTTCACAGAGTGACATAGTGATATTTTTTTCTCTTTTTCTGACTGATCATACAAGGTTTTTCAGTCTTATATGATCAGCTTCACAAGTTACCTCAAGAGAAACTTAAAAAAAATAAAGATGAGTAAGATCCTTTTTCAAGATTTCAAAGGAAAAGGGGTTGTTTTAACAGTAGAGTTGTCTTTGAGACAGATTCTGTTACAGGCCAAAGAAGTTCACAGACTCTTCAGCTTTCAAGGGTGAGCCTTTTTGTGTGTTGTTGATACAGGATTCATTAGAACACCATAATTCATAATGTTTTTATTGGTTTGTCCTTTGCTTCTTAAATAGGAATTGGAGAGTCTGAAGCGTGCCCAGAAGCAGGCTGCAGCCACTCAGAGTGCAACAGAGGTTCGCTTAAACAGGGCCTTGGAGGAAGTGGAGAAGCACAAAGGGGAGCTGAATAAACTGAAGCAAAGCAACAAGGTACTAGCTTAGGAAAGCAATTTCCAGTCTGTAGGCACTCAGAAAGCCTAGAATGAGACAAAAACCCTGATGGCCTGGAAGCTTCATATTTCTTACAGGCAGCCTCAAAATTTACTTGGAGCAAGTCACATAAGGCCTCAATAAGTTATCTTAGAGGATACTACTGCAGCCTCTGCAGGAAAAGAAATGTACAGAATGAAGTTAAAGACTTTCTGATTTTCCTCATTTGTGTGAAAATGAGACATGTTTAGAAAGAGGGAGAAGTACACATGCACACCTAACACATACAAAGGCAAACCATGGCTCTTACTGCCAAGATTTTCTTTTCTTTTTTAAGCTTTAATGTGGGAGTATTTTGATTAATCCCATTTATTTTCAGAAGTGTCATGTGTGACTACTGTTTGTCATTTTCTTATGTAATGCCAGGTTTCATTGGTTAAAGCACCATTTTCACAATAAATATGTTTCTCCCTTTCTTCCCTTGGTAGGATGTAGCTAACCAAGAACTCAAAACGATCGAAGAGTTAAAAACAGAAAACAAGAAACTGCAGAAACAAAAAGGAGAGCTAATTACAGGTTTTAAAAAGCAGTTAAAGTTAATTGATATTTTGAAGAGACAAAAGGTAAGGTGCAGACTATGGGTGTATTTCAGTTAACAACCTCTAGCTAAATGTATCTACTGTCCAGTAAAGTAATCCTGAAAATTGTGAGTTTACATGGAAGGAAATTAAAATGAGAAGAATGTATACTAAGAGATATTTCCCAAATCAAATTATTTTCCTCTTACTAGTTCCATCACACTTTTCACTTAAAATACTTGGGATGTGTGCAGTCATTTCCATCATTGCATCTCCTTCTGAGGCTGCATGAGACATGTAGAGCTATGGGCTGGACAGGACCTTAACACCACAGAGTGGGACACTTACAATTACTTACTCTGCAGAATCTCATGGGACTCATTTTGGGATGGAGTCGGTGCACTTGCACTCTCAAACCAAGCCTGTAAGACAGCTAAAGCAAGCAATGTATGGTGGCTTGTTGAGCAGAACCCCCTTTAAGAAGGGCCAGCTTTAGAGATAAGAAAATAGAACATTTTATTTACCCTTTGAGTACTCAGTGATCACCAGACATTTAGTAAACACTTTTGAAGCTGTTGAGCCCCAAGAGGAAGAATAGTTCTGTATGAAGTGGCAACTTAAGTGTGTGTATTTTGCACCCTGATCATAAGAACTGGGAATTGCAATATGAAACTACACTTTTGAATCTGGAATACCTCCCCAGCACAGGGCAAAGGAGGACAGGTAAGTGGAATAAGAGGGGCTGCTTATGTATTTCCAGTGCAAGAGAATTTTTCTGGCAGTAACAGGATGCAGAGAAGATCCTGGGGATTCACCTAGCAGCAATAGTGCTAGCTTAGCCTTTGGCTGGCCATTCTAGCTCTGCAATTTTATTGTGAGAATGAAAACTACACAGCATTCACTCAAAATATGTTCTTCCAGATGACGTAGCTCGTTGTCCTCTGGATCATGAATTCACTGAAATGGGTGTCACAGAGCAGCATTTCTGTTTGACTGGGAACCAAACCCATGGTCTCAGACAGATGTCACAAACTGCATTAAATACATTTCTAAGCAATTACAAATGCTGTATCAGAACCACAGATGGGAGAGAAAGCCACTTACCTTTTCATACAAAAAGTGTTACTCACAGAAGGATGCTGTAAGTTGTTCTTTCTGAAGAGACTGGAGCTAACCCTGCCCCTTGCAGCTTCTGGCAGAAGGCACTGAGGAAGGGCAGCTGAAGTTCACATGTACTCAGTATTCACAAAGTGGAAGGACTTCAAGTCTGCTTCAAACAGGCCTTTTGTTGAATGAATTAGAAAAACCTGATTTAGGCTATTTGTGTAGTGTTTGTGTGGCAGGTTCAGATGCACAGAGCAGACAGAGCCTGAAGAATGATAGAGGGAAAAAATTCCCCAAAGACATTCAATATTAGGAGTAGGATGAATTTTGCTTTGTAATAGCTTTAATGTTAAATTGAATATTGATCAGCTTGAAAGAACGTGGACCAGTTTTCTTACATGTGTTCTTCAAGAGAAGTCACAAGAGTTGTCAGATTTTCAGGAATTTTTGTGCTTTATTAAAATCCATAAAATATCCCAGTTAGCCAGGATTTTGTATTGGTCATTCATACTATTTCACCTTCTGCTCACTTTTTTTTTTTCAGATGCACATTGAAGCTGCCAAGATGCTCTCTTTTACCGAAGAGGAATTCATGAAAGCTCTTGAGTGGGGAAATTATTGATCCCATTAAATAACTTTTGTTTGAAAGATGAGTCAGATGGTACATTATTTTGAGACTGTATATGAGTCCTTGTTAATAGTTAATAACTGTATATCCCACTGAATTGATTTTGTTGATTTTGCTTCTGTTTAAATAGTTAAACTTCTGTAAGCCTGATAGCTTGTGTTGTAATGTCATATGAAACACAAATTTCTACTTCATTGTCAGGCCAAACTGCCCATTCTGTAAGGAGCAGAGAAGCACAAACCATGCAAGGGAGATTCCAACAAGTGAATTTTCTTACCAGTTTGCCCTCTTCTAGCATTTAAAACTGTACCTTACCTATGGTCATATTCAGTTCAATGAAGTCAGGATTTAGTCTCAGAAAATTCCTCGTTGCAACAGAAATAAACTAACCAGTGATCCACTTGAGAAGAAAATGTCATGTCCTTTTTAAAACACGTGGTTGGAAAATTGGCCTTGTCTGTTCTCTGTAACAGATCTCCCCTCAAAGCTAGCTGGTCTGGCATCTAATTTAAGCACCAACAGCACTTTTATAGAAATGACCATAACTTGTTTTAGTGATTACATCTGAGCGCCCCTGGCTGGCATAGCCATACATGAGACTTTTGCCCCTCATCACCCAGACAGACTCCACAGTCCCATGGAGCTGCATTGTATAAAACTGTTCCTTCAGTCAAGGTGAAAAGTATTAAACCTTTCCCTGGCCATCAGCTGCTTCTTTGGGATACAGATGGGAGCAATGACTCCTTATTCACATCCATAAAAATTTCATTATTCATCATTGTAATCAGTAACTAGAGAACAGATTCAGGGTAGATGAGCTGAGCCTATTTTGTGTACATTAATGAACAGGATCAATACAAGCCTGTGTTGCTTCCATGAACCTCTGCCACACCTCAGCTATTTCAACGAATTCATCCCTCAGAGTAAGTGAGTAAGAACATGGGACAAAACCAGTCAGTTTAGGCACTGAAAGAAAGGTATAAAGAGTAGTTCTGACCTCAGAATGACACAACGTATCTGTTTAGATCCTACCAGTGAAGTACCTCAGATCTGCCTCGTGGAGATGAGACACACTACATTTGAATGAGGATTGTAGTAGTGTAGTGCCAGTGCAGCCACATCTTCCCAGAACTAGTGCATTAGGAGAATTCTTCAGTCCAGACTGGAATACACATGCTAGGTGAGGTTTCTGCTGCGTTGCTGAAGAAAACATTTCTAACATTACTACATGACTAACTGAGAATAATTGAGAACTCCAAAAGTTTATTGGTGAAAAATGAAAGTGGAGCACACACTTCTGTAAAACTAACTGCTTATCCGTTTAGAACTTGGTTTTAAAATGAAGGCTGTTAATGCTATTAAAAAGGAATTCCTCACTGTTAAAAGCAAATGGAAGTTTTGACTGGGAATCTGATGACACCTAGTGGCAAAGCAGGAGCTGAGCTGGGGGAAGGTTCAGCTCTCTTCTGTAAGTTCATTACCTCTTCTCTGCTGGTAAGCCAGCCTGAAATCTTCTCCAAGCATGTTAATGTCGTTTTCGTCTTTGAGTATTCCCTACATTAACAGGAAAGAAACATCAGAAGGTAAAACAGAGCAGTGAGATTACTATGGATCTCTGAAATTTTCTATGGAAGAAAATATGGTATCTATAATACTATAGTAACTTTAAGGCAAGCCTCAAAACGGTCACAAAACCTGAACAGGTGAGTTACAAGCATTCTCTTGCTCACAGGAGTGATTAGAGTACAGCATAGGGGCAGATTTAGTAAAATGAAGCAACTGCAGTAAAAAAAGGCCCTGGCTGGTCTGGGGCTCTGACACCCTCTTTACCTGTGTTGGAGTTAACTCATACAAAGAAATAACTTGGGAGACCAAGTAATGCTGGACAACTTAATAAAAAACTGTGTCTTTGAGAAGAGAAGCTTCACACAGAAATCTACATTTCTAATTCTAATTAATTTTACTGCTAAAAATGTATGACCCGCAGAACATACCTAGCAGCATTTAAAAAAGAGGAAAAAAGTTAAAAACTGCATTTATATTGGAAAGTTTCCTGTTTGGTAGCACTTTGCTGTTTAACCATTTTGCATGAAGTAATGTGATGTAGGAACACCCAAATCAAGACACAGTGCTGAAGCAAAGAACAGAAAAGCAGAACATCATACATGGCACACGTGTGAGCCTTGGACACTGAAATTGCCAAGGCTTCCTACAACAGAAAATTCAAACCAGAAAAGTTTATCAAAATGTTCTCAATATGGGTTATCCTTTAATTAAATCTACATTAGAGAACAACTCACTCCAAGTGTTACAAATTCCTGCACCAATTCTCGTATTAATATTTGCACAAAAGTTAAAGTCTGCTCTACTTAAGTTTTTCCAGTATTGCAGGATTTCTTTAACCAGCTGGATAGTTCCCCCTCTTCTGTAAATGCATTTTTACATCCCTAAGGCAGCTCTCAGTTCATTTGTGTACTATTAGGAGATCTTTCCAATCATGAAGCACAATACAAAATAAAGTGTAGTTTATTCCTATTGCAATAACTGCTTCCATCTTTTTAACTTTCAAGAACACCAGTATGAACAGAGCAAGCTCTGCAATGCTTCTGTAAATGCTGCAGTTTATTGCACTGCTGCAGAGTCCATAGTTATGGAATATTTGGCAGACAAGCCAGAGAGCTGCAAGAAATTGCTGCCAAAACCCCAAATGAGAAATTTGGTGGCAATGGGTTTTAAGATGTAGTGGAGCCCTTTCTAGCTAGAGAAGCCCTGCTGTAGAATTCATGTTCCATATTTCAAACACTGGACGTGCAAAGTGCTGTGGAAGCTTTCAGCAAGTTCTGTACAAGTTCTGCATCAGCAGTGCAGAGAGCCCAAAGCCCCCAGCAGAAAGAGCAGTGCTGTAAAGGGGTGCCAGCTCAAAAGCAAAAGGAAGAGGTGAGCACAGGTGAGCTGACACAGTAAGGACATCCACTGACTCTGGGAACTGCCACAGTTCTGCAACTCACCTTGAACTATCCAGGAGAAAAGCAATTTACAGGACAGACATTAAAGGTATTTAAAATACAATTCACTTACTCGAGGAAGATAACCCAGCAATTTCCATGCATGCTCTTTCAAGAGTTTCTGTCTCTCCTCTTCAATAATTGCACGGATACGTTCTTGTCTTCTCTTTTCTAACTCTCTTTCTTCAAGTTCACGCTCCTACAATAAACAAATTTTCCTAAATTCTGTTTCAGTATTTGTTTCCACCACTTTCCACAACAGCATAAAGAGAAAAAATTTAGTGGAGTAAATTTTGAACTTCCTAATTCCTGGTCACAGGAAATGCTCTTGAAAAGGAGAGAAAAGTGTATGGAAAACCCCACAAAGCATTGTTTAAATAATATCTGTCTGGCAACTGGAAAACAATCTCAGACAAAAGAGAAAACTGAATGGCAAGTCGTGGGGCGAGTCTGCTATCCAAGTGTTTGGTGTCAGAAGCCCTTTTGAAGGCAGGCAATGTTCAGTCCTGGTGGCTTTTTGGCTCTCAGATGAGTTGGTCTGTTCCAGCCCTACTGCTCTAATCCAGGAAAAGGAGCAATAGGTATGAATTCTCACACTGATGACTGGAAATTGCAATTCACATTACACAGGTGATTTATACCTATACACAGGTTTCAAAACAGCAGTATGGGATTCCATGTCTTGCTTTCAGTTTACACCTTTTTGTCCTCAGATCTCAATAAAAGAGACTTAACCTCAAAGCAAGGCTAGGCCTTCCCCGCCTCACGCATCATTATCAGTGCAGCTGACCAGCAGCTGTGTTGCTGATCTCATGCCTCCTGAAGAGGTATTTGCAGTACAGCTACACAGGAGGGCAGGAATGTTGTTGATCCCAACCTCTTGAGCTACAAAAAAAGTTAGCTCTAAAAAATACCTTTTTCTTGTTAGAAATTGAAACAAAGTCCTGATTCCCCCCGCTATTCTCTGCAATTCCTATCACCTTTCCCTACCAACACCAGCATTGTTCCTTAGAATAGCACAAGTATTCCCATATTAAACACAGTGCTCAAACCAAAGGTGCATGTGAAACTCTTACTTTTTCTGCAATACACTGTTTGCGGCGGTCCTCCAGAATTTTTTCCATGGCCATTTTGTGTTCAAGCTGTTTCATCCTCCGTTTCTGCGCGTTCAGCTGCTCAATGCGATCGTCCTCGGCCAGCTTGGCCAAGATCCGCTGCCGGAGAGCTCTGTCCTCTTCTCTCATAGCTTCTTGTTCTGCTGCCTTCAGAGCAAACTGCTTTTCATATGCTTGCCTTAAGTCTAGGCGCTGCCTTATTCTCTTTTCAATTTCTGCCTAGAAAGGAAATTGAGTAAAATGCAGCATTACTGAAAATACTTTGAAAAATTCTCAGCAGCAGCAGTCAATCTACTCCATTTATCTTGGAATAAATTTACTGTAGCTCTTAACTTCTAGCATAACTAACTGGAGCAAACATTCCATATCTGACAGTGCTCTCCACTATTAATCAGCTTGGCAAATGTCACAAGACTCTCAAAATTAAGTCCAAAACCAAAGGGATTTTTCTTCCCACTATGATGAAGGGAATCAACAAGACAGTCATCCTGAACAACACTCTAAAAATAGCAGTGTTTGGTATCTCAACAGTATGTTACATTTTGTTTGTCACCCACAGCAAGGTAAGACAGAGTGTGTCCAGGCCCATTGGATATAGACTTGCAGAAAAAAAAGCAGTTAATTAAACTGCTTAGCTTAAATCTAAACTTGAAAGTTACTGCTATTCTCCTTCACAAGATAAATAAATGTATAAATGGGGCCACAAGGGTATTCAAAACGTTTACTTGCCTTCCTGGTTGAAATGAAATACATTAGGAACAGAAAAGGAAACTCAAAGTACAAAATCTTCCCTCCAAAACCTAAGCTAATCTACAAACTGCCTGTCTGATTGAGAACTTTTAGAAAATAGAGTTGAAAATAAATACTTTGTGCTAGAACATAACCGGAAACCCCAATGTCACAAACAACACTGCAGACGTAAAATCCACAAGGGTATTCAAAACGTTTACTTGCCTTCCTGGTTGAAATGAAATACATTAGAAAGAGAAAAGGGATCTCAAAGTACAAAATTTTCCCTCCAAAACCTAAGCTAATCTATAAACTGCCTGACTGAGAACGTTTAGAAAATGGAGTTGAAAATAAATACTTTGTGCTAGAACATAACTGAAAACCCCAAAGTCACAAACAACACTGCAGACTTAAAATCCAAAAAAAATCCTTCATGTACCTGCCAGCACTTACCATCTCCTTCTTCCTTTCCATCGCTTCTTGTTC